AATTAGTATTCTAGTATTAAAGTGCCTTTTATTTTTCATACAATGTTTTTCCATTTTTCATAGCATGTTGAAGAGTACTTAAGTGTTTATTCTCCAGGAACCTTTTCTGTAAAAGTGAAGTATGTGCTACACATATGTACGTCTACTGTGTTGGTGTATGGAAATACTAGGATTGCCAAATAAAGAACTGAGATTGAACTGGAAGATTCAAGTGTCTTATCTGATGTTAGCTCATTCTCTGCTCTCATGATCTATTAGATCATTTGGAAAATGTCTGCAGTGGCCAGAGCTGAGCCAATCTGAAGCCAGGAACCAGGAGCTTCTTGAGGTTCTTCTATGTGGGTGCGGGGTCTCAAGGCTTTGGGCCATCTTCAACTACTTTACCAGGCCACAGCAGGGAGGTGGATGGGAAGTAGAGCAACTGGGGCATGACCCAGAGCCCATTTGGGATTCTGGCACATGCAAGAAGAGGATCTAGCCCCTAGGCCATCACACTGGGTCTGATGCTGCTTGACTTTACCATATATTATAAACCCTTTTTTCTTCCTCTCTCCCTATCTCTGATTCTGCCTTTCAAATAAGTAAGATAAATACGTTTAAAAGATGGGGCAGGAAAGGCAGGTGCTGGCATTGTGGCATAATATATGTGACTACCATATGTGATGCTGGCATCCCATGTCTGTTCAAATCCTGGCTGTTCCACTTCTAGTCCACCTTCCTGCTAATGTGCCTGGGAAACCAATGGAGGATGGTCCCAATGCTTGGGCCTCTGTACCCACGTGAAAGACTTGGATGAAGCTTCTGACTCCTGGGTTTGGCCTAAGCCCTGGTCATTGCGACCACTTGGGAATAAGCCAGAAGATGGAAACCTTTCTCTATGTGATTTTGAATGTTTCCATCATTTAATTTTTTTAAAATGTTTTGAAGAGCTAGATGTGTTTATCTTGATTGGAAATTGGAAAATGTCTACATGTACCAAACCATCACATGGTACCTCCTAGATATGTCTACTTCTTATGTGCCTTAAAATCTCTTTTTAAAATGCCACAAAATGTTACACATGTATTAGTATCAGGATTGTTTCTTTAATATTGTTTCTACACAGGTAAGAAGCCAAAAATAGCAAGTAAAGTAGAATTTTTAATATAGTTAAAATGCATATGTACATGAAAGGTGCTAGTTTTATTTTAACAGAAAGTTACACGCTTTAACTTGAACTTCCCTTAAGCAATTTGAATAATGTTACATTCCTGAAATGTATTATTTCACTTACTTGTATTGCATTCACGAAAGACTACAAATGTAACCAAATCAATAAACGATGATTCTCTAGTCATTAAACAGGACTGAGATATCATGAATCAAAGAAAGAATGTTCTGAAGGAAAGAGAGAGGAACCCTAAAGCCCTGAGCATGTGAGAAATTCAGGAATAGAATGGAGTGGAATGGTCCCCTAAGTGGAGGGTTGGGATGAGAAGAGAAAAAATTGAGGAAGCGGCTCATAATCAGACCAAGTTAAGATCTCCTATGATACTGAAAGGGTTTGGGGTTTCTTTTCTTGTTTTAATTAATTAATTAATTAATTCTGATACAATTTAGTTGGCACTGGGCTCTTCTTCTGCCTCCCACCAATTCCCACTCCTCCCCCCTGTTCTCCCCTCCAGGTTCATAATGTGTGTCCTTCATGAATTTTCGGGTTTGGGGTTCTTAAAGGGCACTAGGAAGCCTTTGAAACATCTGAGGCAGAGCAATGAGAAGTTCAGACTGTGTTTTTACAAACCTCTCTCAGCTTACTATGGGGAGAATGAATTGAGTGGGTCAGGAGCAGTAGGACAAAAGCCAATTAAAATTTTGGTCCCTTGGTGGCCTGGGCCAGGGAGTTAGCAGTGGACATGGAGAGATGGGCATAGCATTGAGATTCACTTGGGCACGGAACTTACAGAGGTTGTGATGTATGGAATGAGGGAGGAAATCAAGGATTGAGTGATGAATCCATGACTTTGTCCATATATACCCTCTCGCTCAAGGTTGCTTTTGCTTATACTAAAAACTGAGACTCTGAAATCTTAACACCATCAAACAGCAATAAAAAATAACTAAAGAAATGTAGGAAATAATGTATGCATTGTTTTACAAAATATTGTGAATCATGCTTAGAATTCTGAACACTGGATCCTAACAGTGGCTTTTGGCCAAAATCAGTAAAATTAAACATGCACATTAGGTATATAATGAGCCAGATTGTGGGTCATTTAGAAAAATGTATTGAAAAACGTTGCTGTCTCTTGAACCAGTTCAAATTGTAATATAAGTTCTACTAGTCCAGCTAATTTTGTATGCATAGAAAGTGGTACAACTCCACAGGAAATATAAATTTTTCATTGACTAGCAGCCTGTAACTGCTTTAAGTGTAATTATACATTTTTCATTTAGGATCAATTTCACAAAATCATTTTTATGACCTCAGGCTGCCTTCTTAATAATCGGGTACAGCTAATTTATTAGGGTTTGCATGTGTCGGTGTTGGTGTCATTCTTGGCTACATTTCATTTAGCAACAGGCTCCATGTAGAAATGGAGAGGACTGTCTGGTTTCTACTGTTGTGGATCCATTGAGCCTTTTTTTGTTTCTCAGTAATACCATTTTTGTAGGAAGCACATGATAACTTGCTCTTAAAACAGCTCAGTAGACAAATAGGATATTTTCCATTTAATTCTAGATGCACCCTCAGAACATAATTAAATCCAGTCACTCTCACTTGGAGCACCATGACTAATTCATGACATTTAGGCATAATGAGGTTCTAGGTTTTGGAAAATTTTTAGTTCTTTGCTAATATATATATATATATATATTTTATTAAAGGAAAATATCCCATTGAGTCATTTTATGCCAAAATTAAAGTGAAGGAGGGCAGAGTATGGGTGGCCATGTCACTGCATAGAAGGAACTGAATACATACTTAATGTGCTTATTTGAGCTTGCATTTCCTCAGGGGCTTGCCTTCCTTAATTAGATATGAAGTAGAACTTTGACTCCAGTGACTGGGGTCTAGACTTTAAGGATACAGGTGTTTTGGTGAAGTAGGTAGCTGAGTTGTCCAGGGAAGCTCTAGGTGCAGATCCCATACTTGATTGCCCTTTGGTACTAATAATCTTGGTTCTTCAGTCTACTTTGTATGAGAATTACAGGCATTCATCCCTTCTTAAGGATGTCAATGAGGCAGCATTTTAGATGCTAAATATGGGAACAATAATATTTGTCTTCCATGTTCCAAAAGAGCATAAGAGGTGAGAGATTGCCTTTGCAAAACCTTGGCAGCATGATAGCATTCTGTGATTAGTGGACCTGAGCAAAAGTGCCTTTATGCTGATTAGAACATGTGGGCTAGACCCATTGGCCATGATACTTTGCATACATTGGAGCTATTGGGGAGAACTTTGTTGAATGGCGAGAGCATCTTAAAAAGACTTTATTGGTGGAACTGGACATGGTCAATTGGATAGTAGTGATACCAGTTTGACAGCTGAAACAGTTTGTACTAGAAAAACAAGTTTGGGACCAGGTGATGAAGCCCTGAATGCTGCTGGCGTGAGGCATCTGGCCAGAAGACTGGTGAGCCTTTCAAGATTTCCACATTAGAGAGAGCAGCATGATCCAACTGACCTTTAGAAAGTTTAATTCAGTAGCAGGGCTTGTAGTTAGTTGGTGAATGGAAACAATCAGACCTGAATCTAAGATTTGTAGGCCATTGCACTTCCCCAGAGGAGAGGTTGAAAGGACAGGGCTTTGGGAAGCATATGGTGAATTCTCATACACTCATATTGTCGAATGGTGAGAGCATTTAAAAAAAACTTTTTTTGGTGAAAGTGGAATTGATCAATTGGATAGTAGTGATAACAGTTTGATAGCTGAAAAGGATTTGACTCATAGTAAGTTTTTTAAAATGTTTCTTGAATGGGTAAGTGAATGTTGTTGAGCAGACTACAGGTTCCCTGCAGAACCTCTGTACCACTCAGATGCCTCACTGTGTGTGAGATAAAAGTCGAGATAGAGGAAAAGGGAGAAAAAGAGGGGCAGGTAGAGAGGGAAAGAGGCAGAGGACGATGGCAGCCTCGATTGAGACCTCTTAGCCACTACATCAAGAGACAGCCCCTGGAACAGTGTACGATTGTGGGTCTTGTTAGTCACACCAGGGAGAGAGGACCTCTTGAAGGGGTTCATGTAGCAGTAGCTTGAGGGCAATACCATACTTGTTTCCGTGGTTTAGTCCACCGGGACTAGACCTGGGAGAACTGAGAGATGAGACCTTGTAATTACATGAAACACTGTCTTAACAAAGTGCAGTGTGTGCTCACACTTTATGGTCAACGTGCTGGCTATCCAGAAGTGAACAGTGATCATGCTTATGAAACAAGCAAAGGACAGTGTGATAGCTACCTTGACACACCTGATGGCAAACCAACCATGTCCTGTATGTGTGGAGGCAAGACAGAGAGGAGGCTTGTGGATTCAGTTGGAGTCCTATTGCAAAAAGCTTCATCTTCCCAGGAACTTGGATCCTCATGTAACAAGGATGGCAGTATTGCAAAAGTTTAAATCAGAGGAGCAAAAAAGTTTATGCAGTATGTTTTAGAAGCATAACATGATTGGCATATGTATGAAATTGGAGAGGAAAAAACCAAAGCTGAGAAACCACTAATAATGGCATTGCCATGCCCAAGGAAGTAGTACAACAGGCAGTAGGTCATTTGTCAGGATTTTCCTGTCTGTGATTGTATTTGTGGGGATGTAATTAGACCCATGATGCAATTAGAGATGAAAAATGGCAAAGTTCTATATTTACAGCACAGTCCAGTAAGTTATGAGGTTAATTATGCCCATCAACGAATCACAAATTGAAATTTTTGGGTTTTGTGATCTAGCAGAATTGCATCTCCTTATGTTTTGTTCTTTGTCAAAAGGAATGTTTTTGTTTTATCTTGCTTTCCTTTTTTTAGAAGTTGAGCTGGAATCACATAAAAACATACTGACAGATTATTTACTGGCAAAACACTAATAAGATGGGCCTCTAGTGCCTGGAAGGGGCCAGTTTATCCATCAAGACACCTAAATTGCACCCAAAGAGGAAGTTAAGAGCCTGAAGAATTGAACTCACCTTCATAGAGGGTAATAAACATACATGCTGTCAAGCTTTGCTTAGATGCAGTGTGAAAATTGTTACTTATTTAGCTTGTTAAAAAGTGATTCTTTCCCTTTTCTAGCACCTGCTTCATATTACCACAATGCTGGGATGGCCTAGGTGCAACTTGAGTTTAATCAGGGTTAAGTATATGGGGTACTTTTCTAAACATGGGTTTCAGCAGAAAATTCTGAGAATTTTTGGTTAAAACCTAGAAAAAGTCATCACTTTTCCTTTATCATTGTTTTCCTGCATGAATCTCTGGTTTCTGTGATATCAGCATTGCGAACTTTGCATTAGTCCTGGCCGAAGAAGTTGCCTAGTTTGTACATTATTATGAATAGGAAATGGAATTTTCTGATTATTGGCTGAGGAAGCATTACTAGTTCTGGGTCACTGCTAAGTTGGAGATACCACCTGTAAGAGAAACCTCACGCAAAGCCTTTCGGCTAGGGCTTGGGACAGTCATTCTGTAAGGGCCAGGTAATTAGTTTTATGCTTTGTGGATCATATGGCTTCTGTCATGACTACTCAGCTCTGCCCTTGTAACAGGGAAAGCAGCCTTGGATAATACTTAAGCAAAGCAGTATTGTTGTGCTCCAATAAAACTTGCATATTTACACAAAGGGCAGGAGCAAGATGTGGCCTGTGACCTGTAGTTTGCAAAGTGCTGGTCAGTAGTTAATATTAGAGAAGTAGGTGGAGATGCTTGCACTATGAGACTATTCTGTTATACTTTCCCTCCTAGCTTTTCATCATGTTTGCCTCTTGCTACCTTTCCACAGCCTGTTTTAAGACCTGAATGCCATGTCGATGTGAATAAAGGAAGTAGCAAAAGTCATTATGAGTATACCAGCAGGTATTTGTTGATGGATCTAGTGAATGCTAATCATGATGAACACATAAAAGTGAATATTTAAAGTGCAGCTGAAAAATTTGTATTCTCCTGATGTATCCAAAAGGATCTTAGCCAAAAGGCCGAGAAGCGATCCTGATGTATCCAAAAGGAGATTGATCAGTGTTCCATTGACCTTCCAGGTCTGGTTTTACCATTGTCTAGAGACTATGATCTTACTCTTTAAACTAGTATCTGTTAGTCTGTCCTTCTAGTTTTTTCAGAGCATAGAACATTCATTGTGTTAGAAACCTCTTTTGCACCTGTTCATGTGTTTTCTGTGTTGCCTATATCTTATTCCAGTTCCGTAGGCTTTGAGTGCATTTGTCCATGTACAACTTGATAACCCATTTCCCCCTTTTCTCTTGCTCCATCAACCTCTGTGTTCCACAGTCAGTGCTTTGTGGTTAACACTGCCATGGAAACCCAGGCCCACTTCTCCACAACCCATAAGCAGTGAACATCCAAGAAAGGGGCACGAGTAGGAATGGATAATTTTTTAAAATGTGTTTGTTTTGAGAGGCAGAAGGAAAGAGAGAGGTGTGCTGAGAGAGACTCCATCTGCTGGTGCATTATCCAGATGCCTTCAGTGGCTGGGGCTGGGCAGGGCTCTGCTGAATCAGGGAGTCTGGAATTGAGCCTGTGTCTCACATTGGTGGCAGGAACCCAATTACGGAAACCATCACTGATGCCTGCCAGGATCTGTGTTCTGAAGAAGTTGTAATCAGGATCTGGAGCCCAATCTCGCTCAAGTGGATGATTTCCTAACCTTTCTCCCCCATCTCCTGTGATCCTGAGAGTGTGCACATGCAGCTTCTCAGGAGTACAGTCAGTCACACTTTGTGGTGGCCATTCAGTGGTGCATCAGTAGTTTGGCTCTCAGTCTTTCTGTGCCTCACTTATAATGGTTCCTCACTCTTATCCCCAGGATTGTACTCTAATAAAATGCTGGTGTATAGATCCTCTGGCTTGGGTTCCACTGTCTGAGGGAAGCAAAACTAAGTATTTTCTTCAGGAAGAAATACCTTACACCTTAGAGGTACTGCAGGACCTAAGGGCACATGTGCAGGAGGGGCCTTGTGAGTGTTTGCCTGACAAGGGCTGTGCGAGCCCTTCACTGGATTACTCAGCAGTCTGATAGCACTATGGATCTCACTGCCAGTGACAATGGAGGCAGAATGGCCCTGGCATTGCATTTTTAAAGGCTTTCTTTCATTGGTGGTACACAGGGACGCTGTGGAGGTAGAAGGTTAGGCCCAGGAACATGCACTATGCTTGGGATGTATAGGGCATGATGATTTTGAGTGTGGTGGAGTGCCGTGGCTTCTGTTTATATTTTACATTTTAAAGAAGAAACAATAGGTTTGGACAACACACCTTTCAACTCATGATGTTGTTTGCAACAAGAAGGCTACAGTTCCAGCAAAGGCTGTGTTTAACCTGAGGAGCTTGTTATAAGGATAGCTAAGCTGTAAAGAGGCTGGATGGCCAACAAAAGAGGCTGAATGACCAGCACCTTCAGGTCTCCTGTGTCAGAGTCCAAGCCGAGAACATCAGTTAAGGATTGTTTGAGCCACCACTGCTGCTTTCCCGGGATCTCCATTAGCAGGAAGCTGGGGTCAGGAGCTGGAGTTGGGAATCAAGCCCAGCTTCTCACTGTGACTCAGCCCTCAACTTCTAAGTTAAACACTCATTCCAAGAGAACTTACTTTTATGATGAAGGTCCTTTTAAGCCAGGAATCTGAATGCAGTGGTCCTAAGAAGAGCCCACATGACCAATTACCTCTTAAAGGTTCTGCCTCTCAAATACTGTTAATGTGCTATTTGGGGGATTAAAGTTCCAACAAATGAAATTTTGGGGCATATTGAAATTATAGCACATGCCAAAGGTATTGCTAGCCTTGGGGGAACCTATGTGGGAGGGTATCTTGTAGCTGTTTGACTGTAGGTGGGGGATAGGGATTAGTGTGTGAACAGAATGCAGGACAGGAAGAATCAACACAGTGGCACTCACCTGTAACTCTGAACTCAGTGTTCTGGCAGTAGTTTCTGGAATCAGAAATCCATGGAAACTGCTTCTGCTTTACTTTTCCTAGTGTCTCTTGCTTGCCACATTACTACTGATTTTAGTGACATCTGAAGGGCCCATTTTGCTGCCCAGTGGCCTCACATAGCAGAAGTCTGCCCAGAATGCAAAGTAACCAATGACTAATATTTGTTCTGTTATTTTTCTGAGTCCCTAGGAGTAAATAATGGCAAGCATTGCCTCACATTTTCTAACACTTCCTCGTCTCTGCTGCAGGGAGGATGCCCCCCTCCTGTGTGTACAGTTTTGGCCGGTAGCCTGGGAGGTGGTGGAGCTGTAACTCTTAGGAAGCATGATGTGGTACTGTGGAGGTTTGGGGTTTCTAGCTGGGTTAATGGCATCTCAGAAGGTGGCAGGAATTTCTTTCCAAATCTGGTCTCAGACTTAGAATCTGGTCCCAGAAAATTCTGATCAGGCCACAGGGATGGAGGGGAAGGAAATGAGGAAGGTCACAGCTAAGAGCCTGTTTCTTTGCTTCCACCCGATGCTTCGAAGGAAAAGCATGCTGCTCACAGCTAGCCTTGGCCCCAGCTAACGGAGGTATGAATAATGATCACTTTCCTTTCAATAACGGTCCTTCCAGCTCATTTGTCCAACATATATTTGGATCCAGCATTGCTTTTATTTTAAAAGCCAGCCTCCAGGATTTTTTTTTATTGCTTTACTTGATCATATTAGTTTCATGCTTCAGCTGTTCATGCTTCTATAACTGCATCTGCATCTTTTGTTTCCAATCCCATGCTGATTTCAAACAATATCAGCAGTGTTAGAGCATTTGAAGGAGGAAAAAACACTCCAAGTAGACTAGTGGGAAAAAAAGAATGAAACAACATCTGAACCATCAAAAACCCCGACTGCTCAAACCTCCTGGCTGGCAAGTGAATTTATAGACCGAGTTTATTCAAATATTTTCATTTGAATTTGCCCCTGGCCGCCTTTTTAGTTTTGTGACAATGATAAGGCATATTTTTTCCCAGCTTGGTTTTCTTCCTTTTGGACATCCATGAGCACCCCTGGGTCTCTTGAGACTTGTTGAAAAGGCATAAACTGTGTTACCTTGAAATCTGGTTGATGTAAACAAAGAATTTGTGTTCAGACTCTCTTAGAACTCTTCAGTTTTCGTTTATCCAAAGACTTAACTCTGCATTTGACTCTGCTCAATGCAGAGTTAGAGGAAACATACATGCGTCAGCATATCAGTCTTGGAGAGCTATTGCCATATCATTGTTTTCCTGTTTATTTGGTGACAATCACTGATAAATGGAGAATTCTGTAAAGGAGAAGTGTTTCTGATTTGGGAACAAGCCAATGCAAAGCCACCAGCCCAGTTCCATTCTAGGGGTGAATGTTGTGACTCCCATGTCCCATACTTGAAAGCCTGATGTTAAGTCCCACCTCTGCTTTCCATCCAGATTTCTGCTAACGCATCTGGGAGGCAGCAGATGATAACTTAAGTACTGAGTACATGCCCCCCATGCAGCAGAACTGGATTGGCTTTGACCTGGCTCAGCCCTGGCTGTTGTGGGCATTTGTGAACCAGCTAATAGAAGATCCTTTTTTTTTTTCTTAAGTAAGCAAACATTAAAAATTCCTTCTTAAAAAAAAAAAAAGATTTGGATTTATTTTTATTAGAAAAGTAGATTTACTCTCTGAGTAGCCTCAATGACTGGAGCTTTGCAGATCTGAAACCAGGAGCCAAGAGCTTCTTCTGGGTCTTCCATGCAGGTGCAGGTCCCAAGGCTTTGGACCATCTTCAACTGCCTTCCCAAGCCACAAGCAGGAAGATGGATGGGAAGTGGAGCAGGACATAAACTTGTACTCATGTGGGATCCCAATGTATACAAGGTGAGGATTTAGCCACTGAGTCATCGTGCTGGACCCCCAAATCCCTCCATTCATCTACTTATTAGATGCATTATACTTGGGAGATTATTTCTCCTTTCTGAGCTTCCTTTACTATCTATAAAAGTTTGCTGGGCTGGTACAAGATTAAAGTTTCTATGCGG